GGGGTCGGGGGTCGGGGGCAGGGCCCGGGCCAGGCCTTGCCCGGGTGGGTGGGACAGGGCCACCAACTCCCTGAGATCTTTGAGCTGTGTTGGCTTTGCATTCCGGGACCGATGCTCCAGAGTCCAGAGTGACTGAGGAGCTGGAAAGCTGCGGGTGAGGGCGACAGGGCTGTGGCCTAGAGCTTTTCCAGGGATGCTGGATGACAATCCCTAGTCTGAGTGGTGGCCTCCAGTGGGCTCAAGCCTCTTGGTTTACAAGTGGTGGAAGGCTGGAAGGGACCAGGGTTGTTTGAAGAGATGCCTGGGCATGGAATCCTGGAGAGTTTGGGCTGAGAGTGACCCTGAGTCAGAGCCAGGCAGGGGTACCACTAATGGAGTAGAGGGCATCACTCTGCCCTCTCCCTGGTAGGGAACCTGGGCACAGGGGCACAAGGGTTTTCAAGCGCGCCAGGGAAGCTGAGGTGGCAGAATGGGCCCCAGCAGGTAGTGAGTGATCTCAGGGTGAGGACTGACAGGGCTGGAGAGGGGGTGGGGACAATGTTTCTGATGTCCGGGATCGACCAGGCTGGTAGGGTGTGAGTCACAGTGGGCACCATGCCCAGCGTGAATGCTGTGCTCCCTGCAATGACCTCTTTATACTCCTGGGGAGGGGAGGGGCGCAGGACTCCTGGGTTCTAATTCCTGGTCTTGCCAACCCACCACGTACCAGTTCTTGTCTAATTTATGACCCTGGGGCCATCTGCCCTTCTCCCACCATTGGTATTTCTGGATATCTTTCTTTCCTGACATGAGGGTGGGCGCATTTGGAAATAGATCTGGACCAGAGAGCATTCATCAGTGATGTCCCCGTGTCCCCCAAGCCTCTCTCCATCCTCTTGTCTCTGTGCCTATCTCGGAGAGCAGGGTTAGGGATGTTTGTACCCTTTCTCAATCTAATTACCTTCCATTGCTGGCTCCTTCTCCATTTCTGCATCTTCCCCTCTGCTTCTGCACTTCCCTCCCTCTCAAGATGAGAGCAAGATCCAGTGTGGTCCCAGATCAGAGGGGAGGAGAGGAAGAGAAACATACATGTATAACAGCATGAAGGACTGAGGTTAAATCTAAGGTAGAAATTCCCACAGTGGAGCCGCAAAATCTGGCCGTTGATGGGGGCTGCGGTGTCTCCTCTTCAAGCAGGGGTGTGGTAGCTGTGGCAGGGGGATTACCACACTGACATTCTCAAGAGCCTTGTTGGCAGGGATGGGGGAAGGGAGACTGGAAGGAAGGCAAAGAGGAAAGGGAGAGGCAGAGATAAGGGAGGAGGCGCCAGGGGTGCCTGGGTGAGGAGAGGACCTGAGAGAGAAAGGCCTGCCCACTGCACTGGATTACAGCCCCCCCACCCCCATCCCCCGGGAGTGGCACCCCCAGGCAGCTGGCAGCTCCAGGCAGGATGTGTACTGGGGGAGGGGTGGGGGGCGTGCGGGGACCTGTCCTAGCCACTTCTCATCACTGGGGCAGCTGGTGGCTTAAACCTTAATCCAGGACACCAGCCAAACAATAGGCCCTGCAAACAGCCTCAGCTCAGCCTGGGTGGAGGGCATGTTGGGGAGGCAGCCCACACTGGGGAGGAATAGGGCTCCTGGTAGGAGGGGGCAGTGGAAGGTCCCCCGAGGCCCTCTTCTCTTTCTGATCAGTTCCTTGCCCAGTCAGCAGAGATAGGAAAGCCAGGGGATTTCAGACCTCAGCAGAATTCCCAGAGAATTTTCTCCTCTGGCCTCCTCGGACCCCCATGGGGTGTGGGGCTCAGTGGGTGAGTCCAGACTATAGCCACAAGTGGGAGGAGCTGAGGGGCCATCACTGGACCTCTGGCCTGATGCCAGAATCCCAGCTAAAGCCTCTTGGACTGAGGGTCATCCAGCTTTTGCTTGGACCCTTGCAAGGGCAGAGTTCATGACCTCATCCGGGTAGCGTTCCAGACATGTATGACTAGAATGGTCTCCTTGGCCCAGAGATGCACTCAGCCTCTTCCACCTGACTGTCTTCTGGGACTATACGAAGCAAGCCTGTTGCCTCTGTCACATTTTTCTTAAATCTTCTGAGATCTGTCCCCTTTCCAAACCTCCTACTTCATGCAGAAGTCCCTAGCCTATGCCTGGACATGGGGCTGGCTCCTTCCACCAGATGTGTAAATGGGAGGGTGGGTGGATGCGGGTAGGAACTTCTTAGTATCAGGACATCTGAGTGGCAGACTCGAGATGGTGAAGGAAGGGGAACTTCGTAGTGAAGTCAGACCTCTTCACCCCAGAACTGGTGGGCTTCTTCGCTCTGTGCCCTACCATGCCTTTCTTCCCACCACTGAAGGCTCCTGCCTGGTGTCAAGGAGGAGTGAGGGGGTGAGGATTGTTGAGGGTTGGAGGGGGTTCTTGCCCTCTGAGGGGTTTGGATTAGGGGCACCAGGCAGATGCGGCTGCCCGAGGTCAGGAGTTAACGAACCCCCAAGGGCGCCCTCCTGACTTCTCACTGGGCAGCCTGCCCTTGACTCTCATCTCCTCTGATCTGCCTCTGCCTCTCTGTGCACCCATCTCCCTGAGATCCTCCTGTCCCCTACTTTCCCTCTCTGTCTGAGCAGGGCATCTGAAGGGCACCCGTCCCCGTCTCAGGCACTGACTTCCTCTTCTCCCTCTTGCCCGAAAACAGAGCTGTGTGCCCCTAAACCCTTGTCTTCAGACCCTCTGCCCTGTCATCTTGGGGAATCTCAAGTATTCCAGTGGGTCGGCCAGAGGGCAGCTGAGTGCCCCTCTACCCTCACCCAGTTGGTTCCCTGCTCAGTTCTGGTGAACCAGCCAGGCCTTGGAGCTGGGCTTTGAACCTGAGTCCCATCAGTCGTCTGAGGTCCGGTTGGCTCCCTTGTAGCTCTTAGTTCCCCACCTGTGCCTGCTGCTGCTTCTGCAGGATGCACGTGTGTGCTGCTCTGTCTGTGCATGTATGTGTCTGTGTGCGCGTGTCTCATGTCTACATAAGTGTGCGTATGTATGCTCACCTGTGTGTCTGTGGGCACATGAGTGTGCTTCTCTGGGTGTTTGTGGTGTGTTCTGTCTGGGTGAGTGTGTGTGCACGTGTCTGTGTCTGCATATCTGTGTGTGCGTGTGTGAGGTTGTGTAGCCGGCAGGGATGAGCTCAGACAGCAGCCCGCACTTCCCGGACAGGAAGGCTGTGTGTCCAGTGCCCGGCACAGAGGAGGTGCTCCGTCAAAGTTGGCTGAACTGAACCGAATGAAAACCTGGCTCGCTGCACTGTAATTTCCCTGGACACAAAGCTCTCATGAGGGGACTGAGGAAAGAAAGAAGGGAGAAGCTGTTGGGCTGGTGATGGTGGGAGAGGAAGGAAGGGGAGAGGAGGGGGTCAGGGCAGAGGAGGGTCTTTGGACCCTGGCAGTCCGCCTCAGGTCTGTAGGAGGCCGTGTGCAGACCAGCCTCTCACCCTTGCTCCCTGTGCTCCCACAGCTGCCACTGGGCCCGAGAGATGGGTGCTCGCCTGGGCGGCCCCTCCCCTGGCAGAGCCCTCGGACGCTCTTGCTACACAAAAGCCTCCAGGATGGCTTTGGCTTCACCCTGCGCCACTTCATCGTGTACCCGCCCGAGTCGGCTGTGCACTGCAGCCTGAAGGTACGCCCTGTGCCCTGCCGGCCTGGCCTCAGCGAGCTTTTGGGGGTGGGGGGATTCCTTTGTACTGTCCTCTCCAGGGCGCTACTGTGGTCTGGGAAGAGGGTCACTGGAAGGCGGGACAGCCCTGGCTGGGCCATTTGCATGGTGTGATCATGGACAAGCCCCCTCCCTGCTCTGGGCTCAGCCTTCTCAGGAGCAGGGGCACGTGGCTGGCTGGGGCAAGGAGCTAGAGGTGGGGGAGCCAGGGTGCTGACCCCCACCCTGGACTCTGGAAGGTGAACAACTTCTTGGAGAGATGGAGTTCTGGGGGCCACCTGTCTGCTGGCCACTTCTGAGCTGGATTTCTTGGTCACTCTCCCCTGGGAGAAGGTGGAAGGGTCAGGAAGGAGGCCTGAGTTCTCAGGAAGTCTGTCCTCACACACCCTTGGGACCGCTCCTGGAGCACCCCAGGCTCAGGCTGGCCTTGCTCTGTGCCCTGGAAAGAGCCCTGGGCTGGGCTGGAGCCCCGGGTTCTAGTCCTGGTACAACTCCTAACTCACTGTGGGTCTTGGGGTGGCCTCACTCTCCCTGGGCTCCATTGCTCCTGCTGTCACCTGAGGGCATTCATCTATTTGGCCCTTAAGAGTCCTTCCAGCCCTAATGTAAATATTAAGTTCTTTGAGTCCAGGAACCAGGGCTATTCAGCCCAAGCCATGGAATGAGCTGGAGGAGGGGGTCCCTGACAGTGAAGTAGGTGTGCAGGAAGACATGAGGAGGGCAGGCACCAGGGCTCCCCAAGAGGGCCCAGCTCCCTTCCCCCACCTCTCTCCCAGCAGGAGAGGGAGAAAGATTTATTTTGGAGTCTATGAACCTGTTTCTCCCCTCCCCCAGGGCTGGGACCAGGCTGCACAGCTGTTGGGGGACTCTCCCTTGGGGAGCTTAGTCCCACCTGCCAGAGAATCAAGAATCTCTGCCCGTGTCTGTGTGCTTGCACGTGTCTCTTTGTATGCACACGTGCGTGCATGGTATGCTAGTCATGTCCAAGCACGGGTGTCTATCTAGACGTGTGCATAGGGGTGTCAGTATATACGCTTCATGTGTACATGTCGCTGTGCAGCTCTTCCACCCATGTCTGAATCTGGGGGCCCCTGCATAAACTCTTCTCCTTGGGTGCAGCTTTGCCTAAGGGTGTAAGTGGGGGCTGAAGATGTTTGGGAGCAGTGCCTCACTCCTTATGCCCAAGGACAGCAGCCCCCTGTTCCCTGGACCCTTCCAGTCCTTCCTTCCCTCCTTCTCCAGAATGCCCCTCCTTCCTGACCCTTCCACCTTCTCTCAGGGGAGGGTGACCAGGGCAGAAGCAGCCTGAGCGGTCTAGGCTGGGTGGGGAACCTGGCTCAGAGAGACATCGCTCACATGGGGCACTGGAAGACCCAGGGGCAGGGCAAGCCAGGGATGAGCTCCATCCCTTTCCAGAACCTGCCCAGGGCTGGGAGCCTGCAGGGAGCTCAGCCGTCTAGATGCATCTGTCTGCCTCTGCCACCCGCTCACTGTGCTGTCAGCTCACATCAGCGGGCAGCACCCCTCATGGGAGGGCAGGCCCAGAGGGACCGCTCTCCAGCAGAGCCCAGCAGCCTTCCGGTCCTGGCTGTGGTGCCCAGGAGTCCTGGGTTCCAAGCACTGGCTTTGCTACTGTCTCTGAGTGGCCCCGGACAAGTCACACCCTGTCATCTGTTAAATGGGTGATCTTTGGAGACCATTAGACAAGATAACCCCAAAGGTCTTATCTGGCTCTAAAATGCCACAGCCTGCTGCCCCATCCCCTCCCCACCAGGATGATCCCAAAGGCCTCCCTAGTGGGTCTCCTCGACTCCATTCTTAGCCCTGCACCTCGATGCCAGAATCCTCTTCACTAACTGGTATTTTCACGTCCACTCTCTCCCACTCAAGAACCTTCACTGGCTCCTTCTTTTTCTCCTATCAAACCTGAAAGCTTTAGTCTGACTTTTGTCCCTTGTTGGTGTTGACTCCTTTCTCCTTCAGCTCAGCTGACCCAGTCCTCCGTGAGCTTGTGTATTTCTGCCACCCAGGGCCTCCACACTCCCCTCGCCTCACCCAGGACACCTTCTCCCAGCCATCCTCAAACTTGCCTTAAAATCCCCTCCCCCAGAGGGACGCTAATCAGGCCTTCCCTCCCCATTCTCTCGGGGCTGATAGCCACTGTTTGCACTTGTCTTGCCTGCTTATCTGTGTCTGCCTGGGTTCTGTCTGTGCTAGTGTGTTTGGTCTCTTCCCAACTGGGCTTCGAGCTCCCCAAGAAAAGGGGTCGGGAGTCCCCCATTGGATTGGGGGTTTTCAGGTGGCTGAGATGCTGACAGGCATGAGAGAGGGCTGCAGTTCTTGGGGAACCTTGCCTGGGACTTGACCCCTCTCGTCAACACCCCTCCCACCCCATCTGGCTGCAGGGCTAGCGAAGGATGATAAGAGGGGAGGCTGCTGGGTGGGGGAACTTGAGGGGCCCACCCAGGAGGAGCTGGGCCTCCCTCTGTGCTGCTGAGGGCCCACGTCCCTCTCTTTCCCGCAGGAGGAAGAGAATGGAGGCCGAGGAGGAGGTAAGGAGTGGCTGGGTGGGGGTGGGGTGGGGTGGCTGGACACCAGGGGCTTGGGACCATCTGGGACTTGCCCTATGGCTTCTATGTCACTCCCTGTCCACCACATCGGCCTGGATTCTGCTGCACCCCGACCCTTGACGGCTGCTCTTGTCTTTGCTTTTCCCTGCGTGTCCACTCTGGACATCTGCTCCCTCTGTCCTTTTCTCACATTTGTTTTCCCCTGGGCCTGTTCATTCTGAGCTAGGGATGGCGTTCTGGGAGTGGATGGGTTAGTTTCTAAGGCCCTCCCAGCCTCGATGGAGGCACAAGCAGGGTCTGCAGAGCCTAGGGGCTGGTGGTTGTGCACCGCTGATCAAGGGCTGTCCTTGGGGTTAGAGACACTGGGGTTCTCAGGCATAAGGGGGGACTCTCAGATGTGAGTCTAACTCCCCTGGCTGTCACCCTTACTCTCCCAGAGGGCCCCCTCCTGGCACCCAGGCTCCCCTGGGTATTCAAGCAGACCTTCTTACACAGGCAGACATCCTTCTCTGCCACCGGGGCATCTGCTGACAACCATGGGGACACTGTCTTCCTGAATCCCCATAGCAGAGGCCCGTGGTGTAGGAGAAGCCAGCAGACCTAGGACAGGCCCATTTCTCAGATGGGGACAGCAGCAGAACTGGGGTGGCATGTGATGTCACGAAGGGACAAGTGCCTGTCCCAGTATCCTCAGGCCTCTGGGTGGAGCCCCTTGACCCTGGGGAAGGGAGTGGGGTGGCCGGTGCAGCTGTCTCTCCCTGCTGTGTATCTTCAGGACTTTTAGGACATCCTTCCTTGTCTTGTGACTTGTGTGTGTGCATCTGTCTGTCTGTCTCACTAGACAGTGAGCTTGGGACGGGCAAGGGCCACGTCTGACTACTTTCTAGCACAGTGCCGGGATGCAGAAGCCATTGAAGGAGTGACTCTGTGTCCCTGTAGATATTCATTCTCCCAGCCGTGTGCTTTTGTCTGATCCTGTGCATCCATGTCTGTGTTTGTGTCCGTGTGAGTGCGATTGTTTTCTGAGCGCGTGTCCCCTGTGTGTGTAGCTGTGCATGGGTGTGACCTTCAGCAGCCACCCCCAGCTAACCTGGCTGATGCTCACCAGGACCCTCCCCTCGGCACCGCCTGGAGCCCATGGATACCATCTTTGTCAAGAATGTGAAGGATGATGGCCCTGCCCATAGGGCAGGGCTTCGCACAGGTGAGCCGTGCCAGTTACCTGGCTCCTCGGACCCCTCTGGATCTCTTCTCTGTACCCTTTGGTTAGGAGGGAATTCTGGGATCCGGGTGTCGGGGAAGCTCACGTCCCCCATTGTCATCCGTATGTGGTGCAGGGGTTCTCAGGTGGGGCCATTGACACCCTTTGGCCGGCTCACCTGTGGCCCTGTCCCTTGTCCCCAGGAGATCGGCTGGTGAAGGTGAATGGGGAGAGTGTCATCGGGAAGACCTACTCCCAGGTCATAGCTCTGATCCAGAATAGGTGAGCGCCCCTGCCTCCTCTCTCCCTCGGGAGCCCCCAGCCCGCTCCCGAGTGCCTGCACACCCCACCCCCTTGCCCCTGGTGGTGTCCTGGGCGACCAGGATCCCTGTTCTCCCAGACCCTGTTGCCTCAGCCTGGCCTGACCCCCTGCCCTGTCTCTGTAGCGATGATACGCTGGAACTCTCCATCATGCCCAAGGACGAGGACATCCTCCAGCTGGTGAGTCCTGCCCTGCTGTCTGAGGTGGAGGACACTGGGTGCTGTGGGCAGGATACAGCCCTTCTCCTTGGGCCTCCCTCCTGTGTCAGCCCCTCTGGGAGGCAGAGAAGAGAGTGTAGGGGGCAGCACCCGCCCAGCATTGCCCAACAAGGAATGCCAGGCCCATTCCTGGGCTGGGGCTGCTTGTTGCTTCATTCAGGGCTGTGCTGTCCTGAGGGAGGGGGGTGCGCTGGCCTTGGCCGGCAGGATTCCTGCCAGGGTATCGGGAAGGAGGGTGGCCCAGCGGGCCCTGCCAGACTGGCACGTTCCTGTGGCTCCCAAGAGATGCCTGTTCCCTGCTCCCCTCCCTGCCTGGCCAAGAGTGAGCGTGTCTCCTGTAGATGTGTCCCCATACATGCACACACGCGCGCGCACACACACGACACTCCCCACCCCACTATCATGTGCTTCCATTCACACAACATACCACAGACCACCCGATGCACAAGCAGAGCACACTAGATACACAGCCACACAACACAACCTGCAGCCCCACCCTTCGTCTAGCATAAAACACACCGTAGGGTGTGATAATGCACACAGCACACCGGACACACCACACCAGGCACATGCCACCATCCATATCACCCCTCAGTGCTGCACACAGGCACACACTACCCCACACACATCACAGAGCACCACAAACATCAAAACTGCACATCACACTCCTCAGCTTCTCAAATTCCTGCAACGCCACACACCTACACCCGGTTGTCTTACCACCACGACACGAACACTTATGACCTCAGAAGTGCTTGCTGTTGTCAGAGCACGAATGCCCACAAACATCACAGCCACGCTCACCAATGTCCCGACAACTCCGACTTACACAGTCACGATGCTCTGTGCTGACGCCCCTTCCTCCACACCTAGAACTTGGCATTCAGCCCACCACTCACAGAGCAGGTACCACAGACGTTGCATGCAGCATTCCCTGTGCTTGCACGTGTCCCTGTTTACCCTGCACACTCTGTGTGCATGCACAAAGGGGCACACACGCGCACACACGCACACATGCTGCCTTTCTCTCTGTTTTCCCCCATCTCTGACCCAGAGCCCAGGGCAGCCCTGTCTGCCCAGTACCCTGTCTCATGGTTGCCAGCCAGATGCCAGCTTGCTGGCCCCCAAGGTCACTGCCCCCCATGAGAGGGCTGAGGGCCAAGCCTGGGCGGCCCTGGGAGCCGCCGTGCTGGCTTCTGCCCTGGCTGTGCTCTCATAATCACTGTAATCACAGTGCCATGCTTGGCATCATGCCCCTCTGGGAACCTCCACCCTATGACCTCGATTGTCCCCTTGCCCTTCCTGGGGAGGGGTAGGCAAGGATGGGGGCCCAGAGAGATGGACAGCTCCCCCCAGGTCTCAAAGGCCCTGCCTGTACACCTCCTGGAGGCTGAGGAAGGCACGCTGTGGGAGGGGGTAACAGGGTGGAACCTAGGACGTTGCTCGCTCTCCTGCCGGAGGGGGGCAGGGTGGGGCAGTGGCCACGGGCTCTGCGGCCCAGGCCAGGGGTGGGCAGGCAGCCCTAGATGTCAGCATCTGGGGGCCTCTGCTGGCCCCCTTCTCCCTGGCTGGCCAGAGGGTGGGGCCCAGGCATTCCTGTGGTTGGGAGCCAAGGCTGGAGGCCAATGGGGCCGAGGCAGCTGCTGACGCCACCGCCGACGCGGCGAGGCCCCTCCACACCCAGCCTCCCCTCCCTCCTCCTCCCGCCAGCCAGCGAGAGAGCCGGAGGGGGCCGAGGGCAGCGGCAGGGAGGGCAGACTGGGGCGACTGAGGCCAGGGCCTGCACGGTGGTCAGCAGGGGCCAGCAGGGGGCGGGGGGAGGGTGGAGGTGGGACAGGATGCTGCCGCCACCAGCGTGATGCAGGGAGTCCGGGGAGCCGGCAGGATGGCAGGAGGGAGAGGTACGTGAGTGTCCCTGGTGGGGCATGTGGGTCCGAAGGGGGCTGAGTATGGGGGTGTGGTTTAGCTTATCCCTGTCACATGATGTGTGTGCCGAGGGCTAGAGGTGTAGTTATTTGTGTGTGTGTATATGTCTCATTGTGTTTCTCTGTGTGTGTGTGTGTGTGTCTGGGTGTGTATTTTCCTATGCCTCCTTGTGGCATGTGTGTGTGTTTGATTTTACCCTCCCTCTTTGATACTTCACTCTGAAATACAAACCCCGCCCCGGGCAACCCATCGAGGGCCAGGCTAGGCTAGGGCCACAAGGCCGTTGTCCCTGGGGGCCGCCTCCTTTTTTGGCCTGGCCTGGGTGCTGTCACTCCTCAGCAATGCAGCGTCAGCCTCAGCTCCCAGAGCCAAATTCCAGGCTTGGGGTGGCAGAAAGTGGCCCAAGGCCCCTCAGCCAGTCTGGCCTCTCCCGCAAGCCTGGCTCAGAGGAACAGAGGGTGGGCAAAGTTTCTCCTCACCCCAGTGGCCCAGGAGCCAGGCCCTCAGCTTCCCATCCAGAGGACAGAGGGACAGCTGGGCTCTCCCAGCCCCTCACCCACCCCCAGCCCACCCCACCCTGGACACACCCCTGAGGCGGCTTCCTTCCCTGTTGTCTGCCACCTTGACTGGTCTCTGGTGGAGTTTCCCAGCTCCACCCTAGGGTCTCTAGTCACCACTGGACGGAAGAAGGCAGGGAGGCAGCCGAAGCCAGCATAGGGGGAGGACCCCAGAAAACAGATGTTAGAATGTTTGTGGCTAAAGGCAGTCCTTGTCATACATCTTAGAAAAATCCTGGCTCTTTCTTCAGCGAGTGTGTGTGTGAGTGAGAGAGACTCTTAAAGGCCTCATTTCTTTGTCCTCCCCACCTACTCTCTTTGGCGCGTGCCCTCTCACTCCCACCCACTTAGGACCCCCCTGCTTGGTCCTCTCCCTTCAGTCTCCTTCTCTGGAGGCCTTGACCCCCCAGGGCTGCTGCAGTCCTGCCCTGTGGGGCCCATTCAGCCCTGCTCACCTGCCTCTGTGTCCTCGGCCAGGCCTACTCGCAGGACGCGTACCTGAAGGGGAACGAGCCATATTCTGGAGAGGCCCGGAGCATCCCAGAGCCACCCCCAATCTGCTACCCTCGAAAGACCTACGCCCCGCCAGCCCGGGTCTCCACCTGGGCCACTATGGTGCCTGAGCCCCTCTCAGCACTGCCCAGTGACCCCCGGAGTCCAGCTGCCTGGAGTGACCCGGGACCCCGCATCCCGTCTGCGGCCCGCAACCATCCGGACAACCCTTCCTTGGGGATGAGCCAGCCCCGCCCCAGCCCTGGTGCCTTCCCCCACCTCCCCTCGGAGCCCCGGACGCCTCGTGCCTTCCCAGAGCCTGGCAGCCGGGTGCCCCCCAGCAGACTGGAGTGCCAGCAGGCCTTGTCACACTGGCTGTCGAACCAAGTACCCCGCAGGGCGGGGGAGAGACGGTGCCCCGCCATGCCCCCTCGGGCCCGCAGTGCCTCCCAGGACCGGCTGGAGGATGTGACTGCCCACCGCCCGTGGCCCTGCTCCACCTCCCAGGGTGCCTTGAGCCAGCTGGGCCAGGAGGGCTGGCACCGTGCTCGCTCGGACGACTACTTGAGCCGGGCCACCCGCTCAGCCGAGGCGCTGGGGCCAGGGGCACTGGTGTCGCCCCGCTTCGAGCGCTGTGGCTGGGCTTCTCAGCGTCCATCTGCCCGCACCTCTGCCTGCCCACCCAGGGACATGCCCGGGCCCCAGGCCCCACCCCCGCCTGGCCTGCAGGGCCTGGACGACATTGGGTATATCGGGTATCGGAGCTATAGCCCGTCATTCCAGCGCCGGACTGGCCTCCTGCATGCACTCTCCTTCCGGGACTCACCCTTTGGGGGGCTGCCCACTTTCAACTTGGCCCAGTCCCCTGCACTGTTCCCACCGGAGGCCTCTGAACCACCGAGAGTTGTCCGGCCAGAACCCGGCCCCCGGGCCCTGGAGCCTCCCACCGAGGATCGCCGTGATGAGGTGGTCCTGAGGCAGAAACCTCCAACGGGCCGCAAGGTCCAGCTGCCCCCTGCAAGACAGATGAACCTTGGGTTTGGTGACGAGTCCCCAGAGCCAGAGGCCAGTGGACGTGGGGAACGCCTAGGCAGGAAAGTAGCCCCTTTGGCCACTACCGAAGACTCTCTGGCTTCCATTCCCTTCATTGGTGAGTGATGGTGCAGGTGGCTGTCTTGGGAAACTTGGATTTCTGTGCCCTTTTGCACGCCACCCACCTGTCACCATGGGCAAAACTCTGGGTTGGCTGCTGACGAGATTAACCCATTCATCCTTCTGTCTCCCTCCCATCCTCCTGTCATCCTTCCTCCCATTCATTTACCTTCCAGCCATCTTTCTATCCACCTTCACTTCCCCCTCCCTCCCTCTCTCCTTCCTTCTCACCTTCCCTCCCTCCTCCTTCTCCTTCCTTCCTTCCACTCTTCCATTATTCTTTCCTTCCACCCTTCCATTCTTTCTTTTTCTGCCCTTCCTTTGTTTCTTTCACTCTCTGTTCTTTCTATCCATCCCCCATCCCTTCATCCATCCAACAAATTTTTATGTCAGGCACTGTGCTAGGCTGCATGCTGACCTGGAGTGGGTGGTCCCACCATAGGGAGACAGTGAGTCAAGAACTGTTCGCTCAGAGGAGTGTGGGATAGCAGTAGGGGAAACTCCAGGAGACAGACAAGGGCTATGCCTAGACTGGGGCTTGGTGGCCAAAGAGAGAGAATCTCAGAGAAAGGAGATTTCAGCTAAGACTTGAAGGAGTTAGTCAGCGGGAGAATGCTCAGGAAGAGAGTAGACTATGCAAAGGCCCTGATGTGAAAGAGGTAGGATGCCCTTCCAGGTCATTGGAACAGGTCTGGAGGGGACTTGTCAGTCGCTGGGGAATTTGGCCTTCATCCCGAGAGCAGAGGGGATACTGAAAATCTGCTGCCTTTAGAATAGGTGTTGGGTAAGGGACAGACAAGAGTGGAGAGGTTGGTGATTCCCAGGTTTCTGGCTTAGCTGGAGGGTGGTGCCTCATCTCTGTATTGGGAAAGAGAGGGAGTAAGGCATGAGAAGGTTTCAGGTTTGCTGAGTAAGAGGCACCCATGAGGGAGCAAGATGAGCTGGGCTGGGTCTAGGGACTTGGAGAAAAACTGGGATGCAAGATCATGGGACTGGGAACCAGGAACCGGGACATGGTAACTGCTGCTGAGAGTGGTGAGCTCACCCTAGGGCAGCCAGGGGAGTGGCGGTGAGAGGCCAGGGCCAAGGAGAGGAGACACAGCCTGGACTCCATCAGTCAGCCTTCGGTCTAAGAGGGGAGACACAGCCTCTGTCTTAGTAAGCACCTTGTCTGAGGGCAGGAGACAAAATCTTTTGTTGTGAGATACTTCCAGTCTGAGAGGAAGACATGGTACCCACCCTCAAGGAGCCCCCCCCCGCTGATGAGGGAGATGGTCCTTATCCTCAAGAAGCTCCCAGTCTGGTGGGGGAGACACAGTCCATGCCCTCAGAAGCCCCGTCTCAATGGGGTGGTTCAGCTGTATTCCTGGGTGCCCTCAGTGTGATGGGGGAGGCAGGGGCTGAGCCTCCGTGATCAGTTTGGTGAGTCGGTTCCCTTGGCAGTGAGCATGTTGCCAGCAGGGCCGTGGAGGGCTTTTGGAGCCTTGGGGATGTGGTCTGGGGGTGGGGGGCATGCAGGTTCAGCCTTCTGGCACCTTCACCCATCCCTCCCTCTGCTCTCGCAGACGAGCCCACCAGCCCCAGCATTGACCTCCAAGCCAAGCACGTCCCTGCTTCTGCTGTGGTCTCCAGTGCCATGAACTCAGCCCCTGTCCTGGGCACCAGCCCGTCCTCCCCAACCTTCACCTTTGCCCTCGGCCGCCATTACTCCCAGGACTGCAGTGAGTGCTTCCCGCAACCCCAGCCCCACCCGCTCCCTTGCTGCCTGGTCCCAGGGGTCTCTGTTGGGCCCGCTGCCTGCTGTCTAGCCTCTTCCGACTGGCTTCTGCTCCTCCTGGGGGCCCACGGGGAGAGTCACCTCCTTGCCCTGCCCAGATGGGAGGGCTTCGGGAAAGCCTGCGCCTGCTGCCCCGCTGACCGTGGGGCCCGATGTGGGCGGCTTTACAGGCAGCATCAAGGCCGGCCGCCGCTCCTCCTACCTGCTGGCCATCACCACGGAACGCTCCAAGTCCTGCGATGACGGGCTCAACACCTTCCGAGACGAGGGCAGGGCTCTGCGGTGAGGACCTCGGCAGCAGCGCGCTCCCTCCCCGGAGGGCCATTGAGCCTGGGGGCTTGTGGGAGGTCCTAGCTGTGCTGCCCACACCCCTCATCCCCTGTCCTCACTCTGCAGGCGCCTGCCGAACCGCGTACCCAGCCTGCGGATGCTTCGAAGCTTCTTCACTGATGGGGTGAGTGGCATGTGTGCGTGGATGCGGGTGTGGGAGGGGTGGGGAGGGATGGGGACTTCAGCCGTGGAGCCCAGCCTTGGCATAGGGACACGGCCTGGGACTTCCGTGACCCGAAATGGGCCACGGCAGCTCCCATCCCCTTCCTCCGTTGTGTCACTCTATACTCAGCTTGTTTCAGCCACGTGACCCACCCTCTTCCGTGGCTTCTGTCAGCACCTAAATACACCATGAGCCCTCCCTCCCAAGGCCTGTGCACTGTCTTTCCCTCTCCCATCTCCTGTCTAGAAGACCCATTTTTGTGCCCCACCCTAGTAGCCACATGACTCACTTTTTCACTTTCTTCAGATTTTTTTTAATAATTGGATTTATTTTTATTTTAGCGGAGGTACTAGGGATTGAAGCCAGAACCCTGTACATGCTAAGCACGTGCTCTACCACTGAGCTATACCACCTGCCTGCCTCATCAGATTTTTTTAGCCTTCCCTATAATTTCAGACTTCACCCCTGAAATTTCCCGCCTCCCTTCACTACTTTCTTTTCCTCCTAGCACGTCTCATGTTATACTGTTTATGCATCCATCTCCTTTCTTGCCTGTCTCACCAGCTAGAATGTCAGCTCCATGAGGGCAGGGACTTCATTTGTTTGTTCGCGGCTTGACCCCTCTGGGTACCTAAAACAGTGCCTGCACTGGGGAGGCCCTGGGTCAGTATTTGTGTTGTGTCATCAGGGGACAGGGGACACACTGGAAAAGGAGGAACATAGGGTTGAGAGTGATGGCCTCTCCATTAGTGTCCAGCCTCAGGACCTGGGGAGACACAGGATCAGTTCTGAAATGGCCTGAAGTATTTTTGATTATGGATGGGCTGGAAAAGTCATCTTGATTTCAAGCTCTTGATATCTTTGGTTCATTTAACACCTGGATACTGTCACTTGGGTTATTCCTTATCATTTCCTCTGCTTACTCAACTCTCCTTGACCTTCATCTCTATTGTTGGAGTCCTGCTGACACTCTCACTTCCTCTGTTTAACTCCTTGTGGACATGACAACGGCTCCACTAACTCAGTCTTTGTTGATGGTCCCACTTCCCCTGTTTATGTAACTTCATGTGGACACAGTCACTTCCTCTGTTTCCTTAATTCCTTCAAGTCTATAAACTTAAGCGTGGTGAGGCATGTGGTCTGCAGGTCATAGCTTTTCCTCCTTTCTGGCTTCCCATTACATCTGTCTGTCTCATGACCTCAACACAAGTGGTTCAGAGAGGGCAAGCAAGGCCCATGAGGCCACACAGCACAGCAGAGTGTCGCACAGGCATACGCCAGGCCTGTGTGGCTGCAAGTGTTCCATGGGGCTTCTGAGATGCTGGTACTGTGGGAGCCACCCTAAATTTCCCTCTGTTGTCTCTCTGCAGTCCTTGGATAGCTGGGGCACTTCTGAAGATGCTGACGCTCCTTCCAAGCGACATTCAACCTCCGACCTCTCGGACGCGACCTTCAGCGATATCAGGAGAGAAGGCTGGTTGTATTATAAGCAGGTCCTCACCAAGAAGGGGAAGGTAAGATGGCTGGAGGAATGAGGTGGAGGTGGATGGAAGCTGGCTCCAGCAGAATTCTCCAGTTTTCCTACACCCACCCCACAGCCTCTGGAGCTAAGGAGAACCAGCTGAGGCTGCAGCCTGTTGGGCAGAGATTAGATGCTAGGAAGAAATTCCTGGGGGACCTAAAGAATTCGTGAAAAAGAGGTTAACCAGAGAGACGGCCTTTGCTGTGGGATGGATCTGATAAGTTGTGCTTCGAATTCTGACAAAACCATCCCACAGTGATCCTTGGTTGGCAGATCACCCTCAAAAAGGCCACTGGGGCTCCTGGAAAATGAGAGAGCAAGGCTGGTGTGATTCTCTTAGGGGAGCTGAGGCCCCAGAGGAAAGCAGAAGTCAGCTTTTCTTTTTCCTTTTTTCTTATTGAAGTATAGTTGATTTACAATGCTGTGTCAGTTTCTGGTGTACAGCATAGTGATTCAGTTATAAGGTCAGCCTTTTTAAGGCCAGCAAAGGTTTTAGGCATTATCCTAAGGGCAACTAAAAGCCCCTGGGGCCTTTTCCAGTTGGCTTCCTGGGGAGTGAATCAGAGAGGGCCAAAATGAGGTAGAAAGACAAGTTAAGGGCCGCCACAGAGCTCCAGGTGAGAGATGAAGGGGGCTGGGCCTGGGGCAGGGAGGCAAGCAGGATCCCAGGGGGAGAAGGCAGGGCCCCTGTGTCCATGGAGTATGAATCCCTGGTACCAGGCAGCACCATGGGCCGAGGAAGAGGGTGGAGGAGGCAGCCAGCCAATGCTGAGCAGAGCGGTTAGCATAAACCTGGGCGTGGCTCTTGACTGTGGCACAAATTACTGGGGGAGCCTGGGTGGCTCACTTACCTGTGACTCAGTTTCCTTGTCTGTAAATGGAGCTAATAATAATCCCCAGCTCGCACAGCTTTGCTGAGGATGAAATCAGATGATCTAAACAAAAGAATTTTCCCAGAGCCTGGCACTGAGGAGCTGCTATTCTGTTTACTGCTATTATTTGAATTTTCTACCTGCCTTCTAAGGGGCCTTGTACATGAACAGAACAGAAGCTTTGAAGTCACACAGACTTGGACTTCCTGCCCAGCCACTTATCAAGCATAAGGCTTTGGGAAACCCCTTTAACCTCTGAGCCTCACTCTTTTGATCTGTAAGATGGGGCCAGTGTGAGGGTGACATGAGATGTATAGCCCAGGCTAGGCTGTCACTCATCTGTGCCCTGGTCCAGCCCGCGGATGGTGACTTACGGCCTGCCTGGCTCCAGTTCTCGGTGGAGGTTCCAGGGATTTAGTGACAAGGGAGCCAGGCCAGCTCTGCCCTGCTGGGGCTTGTGCTGAGCAGAGAAAGCACATGTTGTGTAACAGTCACCAGTGCTCAACCGTGCTGACGGGGAGGTCAGGGGAGCAGCCTAGAGTAGCAGCACATGACCCTGACCTCAGCGGGGTGGGAGAGGGTGTTTGGAAGGTTGAGACGTGAGGCATGTATGGGAGGGAGCCGGATGGGCTGATGGGGAGATGCCCTCCTGGACAGTCTAGGAGAAAGGTGGGAAAGGGTGCTGGGCAGCTGGGAACCAGGGCAAGAGATGGAAGCCGAGGTGGGGAGCTTGGCGCCTGCATGGAGGCCTCGTCACTCAGGGTCAGCCTTTGCGGGGGTTTAAAGGAGGGTGGGTGGTGGGAGGTGTGTGAGCCCAGGAGGCAAGTGTTGCATCTGTGACAGGAGGAGACAATGCCATTGCCGTTGTCCAGGTGAGCGAGGCGGGTGGGGCCTGTCCTGGGTTGTGGTGTGGTGCCAAGGGGAGGGGATGATTAGAGAGATTCAAGGGGGAAGCAAAGCCTGGGCCGGCCAATGGCTGGGAGGTGAGGGAGGATGGAGGCAGTGGTGGGACCCTCCCCTGAGCCACAGAGCACTGGAGGGGCAGGTTCGGGGAGAGGAAGCCAAGTGGTTCCTCTGAGGCCTTGTGGAGTCCAAGGGCACTGGGACGTACCCTGGTGGAGGTGTCCTAGTGACAGAGGCTCCAGGGGTGTGGCACTGGGAGGGAATCCCACCTGGGAAGGGTATTTGTCCATCAGAGTGGACCCAAGCACCCGCAGCCATGGGTGGGTGGCAGGAGACAGGGAGGAAGTGGGGAGATGGAGCCCAAGGAGGAGAGCTGGCAAGATGGCAGCCAATCAGGACGGGGGAGGCAGGAAGGGTGGCGGGGCCAGCTGTGTGAGTGGAGGAGGGGGGGCCAGGTGAGGACAAACCCTTATACCCAAGGTTTAAGCCCTTCAGGGGGCCTGTGAGAACTGCTGACTCCTGCCTGCCACGTAGCCTGTCCTCCAGCATTGGGGGGGCCTTGGGCAGCCCAGCTGCAGTGTCTCCTGGGCAGGGGGAGAGCTGGCCCTTTCCCTTCCTGCTCACTCACCAGTTCTGGAGGAGAGGGCCTTCCTGTCCCATCTTGGTCCCTTGGTGTCGGGGCCTGGGAGTTAGTGGGGGAGCCTCAAGTCACCCTCAGGCCCTGAGTCTACCCAGGGTCCTGATCGCCAGCTAGATGTCTGTTCCTGCAAGGCCAGCCTCCTCCCACCCTCAAGCGCCTGGCCTCTTTCAGAGGCCACTGACTGTATGGCAGAGGAGGGGGTGTGTGGGTGTGACATGTCCCTGCAGCCACAGACCCAGCATTTGAGCTGAATGTGACCTCAGAGATCAGCTAGCTCACCTCTCATTTTACCAACAGGGAACACTGATGCTGGGGACGGGGACTAAACTTGTCCAAGGTCATCTGGCTGGTTCAGTCTCAAATGGGTGTCCTTTTCACCACCTCACTGTGACACTAAACCTCTCCTGGAGGGCTCTGCTGTCTCCTGCTCTGAACATCCCTGCCAGGGTCCAGCAGGTCTGTGGTGGCGGTGCTCACCTGCCAGTCATGAAGTTTCCTCATCCGGTTTGCTCTGACGACTGAGGCTCATGCTGGGTGTGGAGTAGTAGGGGGGCCATCAGCCAGAGGAGAGGAGCCTCGATCTGACAGGGGTAATGGAGCTCTTGCCTGCAGGGTGTTCTGAGGATGATTGATTCATTTATTCAGTAAATATTGATGAGCACTTACCTGTGCCAGCGGGGCTCTAGGCTCTGGAATATGGAAGGGAGAGGGCAGACAAGCTCCCTGCCCCAGGAGCTTCCTAGATACTGGAGAAATCCACCCACAACCAGGAACTTGAGGTTGCAGTGAGCACTCAGGGAAGATGAACAGAGTGATGTAATTGCCTTTAAGTTGGGAGAAAGTGGGGAGCTGCCACTGGGGGAAAAATGCTTAGAGAAGGCCTCGCTGAGGAAGTGATGTTGGTGACACTTGAGCTCAGACCTTAAGGGCAAGAAGGAGGCAACCACACGAAGCAGTGGGAAAAGGGGCTCTAGGCAGAAGGAACAGCAAGTGCAAAGGCCCGGGGAAAGGAAAGGCTTGACTTGTTCGCAGAAAAAGGCCCCTGTGGCTTGATGTAGTGAGAAAGAAAGAGGGAGAGAAGGTGGAGGAGGGAGGGACCTGATCACAAAAGACCGTAGATTTGACTCCAGGGGCAGTGGGAAGCCATGAGAGATTCCAAGCAGGGGAGAGACGGAACCTCGTTTACATTTTTTAAATGGTCGCTGCAGCTGCTGCGTGGAGAATGGATTGTGGGAGGGAGAGCGGAGACTGGGAAGGTATGTGCAGTTGTCCAGGCAAGAGGTGTGGATGGTGTGGGCAAGGTGGTAGCAGGAAAGATGGAGACAAGTGATATTTTGGAAGCAGAACAGCTGTGATTTCCTGATGGGTTGGATGTCAAGGATGAGGAACAGGGAGGAGTCAAGGGCAACTCCCAGGTTCCTGGGCAACTGGGTGGATTTACTGAACTGGCAAAGATGAGGGTGGGGGTAGAGCACAGGTTTGATGGTGAAAATCAAGTGCCCCGTAGTGAGCAAGTAGCATCTGATGTGCCCATGGGACCTACAAGTGGAGACACTGAGGAGACAACGGGAGGTACTGGAGTGTAGCTCGGGGGAGATTCTGGGCCAGGGGTACATTTGGGTCACCATCAGCAAACAGAAGGATTTAAAGGCACGAGTGTGGATGGTGTCATGGGGGAGGCATGCAGGGAGACAGGGGCCCAGGACAAAATTCTGGAGCTCTGTCTCCTTTAGGGCAGGGACTCTTGGCCTCAGCTCTGTTGACATTTTGGGCCAGGTGATTCTCAGCTATGGGACTGTCCTGGGTATCGGGCACGTTTAGCAGCATCCTCAGCCTTCACCTACTAGCTGTCATAGCACTTCCCCAGGTGTGATGACCGAAAATGTCTCCAGACAAATGTCCCCTGGCTGTGCTTTGCCCTGGTTGAGAACTACTGGTGGAGAGGATGTTGGGAGAGGCGGGACCAGAGGAGGAGCCAGTGGAATTAGGAGGAAAACCAGGACCAGAAGGTCCTGGATGCTAAAAGAGAGTTTTGGAGAGGGAAGGAATGACCACTGGCTGGCTCAGATGCCAAGAGGCTAAACAAAGGGTGGAGGAGGGTCTAGAAGCCGCCATTGGCTTTGACAAAATGGGGGCTGGGTGACCTGGTGAGCCACTTCCGGGGAAGGGGATACTGAGGAGAGTCTTGAGTGAGAGGCAGCTTTTGACCAGTTTTGCCATGAAGGGGAACAGTACCGTGGACCAGGAATGGCTTAGGAGGATTTTATTTCTGTAAGGTGGGTGGTGCTTGGAGGGCAGCCCAACTGGCCTCCCAGTGCCCATCTCCCGACTGATTCTCTAGGGCATTACCAAGGCCAGAGGAGTGGTGATGCTAGTATTTAAAGAGAAGCCGGGGAAGAGGGGCAGGTATAGCTCAGTGGTAGAGCACATAGCATGCACGGGGTCCTGAGTTCAGTTCCCAGTCCCTCCATTAAAATAAATAAACAAACAAACAAACAAACAAACAAACAAACAAACTTAATTACCTTCCCCCAAACAAAAACAAACAAACAAACAAAAAACAAAATAAAGAGAAGGCTGGGGACCCTCTCGGGGTACTGAGAACAGTGGGGAGGGGTGTCCAGGCCGGTTAGGGGCGGAGAGAGTTGGGGGACTGTGGGGAGGAGGCTGCCCCACGTGCCAGAGGGTGCGGAGCAGGGGCTCCTGGTCGGC